AAGTGAGCGTTCAAAGATGCAAACACTTCTTCAGCCAGGAGAGAGCAGTCGTTGAGAAGTTAGATATCTTATGATCACAAGAAGTAAAGCACTGGAAATGATAAGGGGGATGCAAAACTTTAGTTAGTGTTTCCAGTTGGGCAATATCTTTTTTGTTTAGCCTACCAAGTAGCGAGGACTAAGCTTTTTGAAAAGTAAAGTAAGAATCTTGTTCAAGCTAGCACTAGCTTCGGCTATTGTGGCATATATCTGTTGGAGAAACACACTTAGTTATGGCAACTGAGACTGAACTTGGAATACAAGTACGTCAATAACAGACAGAGCGCTAGAAGTGCGCTATTTCACTACCAAAGACAGGTCATAGTGAAGAAATATAAACAAACTAAAATATAAACGCTGGAATTCATCTTATTGTTTCCCCATTAGAAGTAATGGAGAACAAGTAGCTAGTAGCTTATGGGTATTGATTTTTATAAAAAAGATGGTGTAGTAATTATTTCCCATTAGAAGTACTGATACATTGTCTATACATTATCTTTTCGTGTGTTTCACTTTAAAGTTTGAGAAATAAAGATACTTGCATAAATTTTCCTTAGTAATGTTTGATTTTATAATAATTGTAATTTGTTTATAGGATACTTTCAAACGAAGCTTGGAGGAGTTCACTCAAAGTTAGCTGATTGATGATCAAGGTAGGCCAATCCAACCATCCCAAGAGGAGATCATGGACATGTGGATTAAGGCAGCTGGTGGCGTGCATAAGGGGAGAGTCTACGGCCTTGGATCAGAGTTTAGTCTCGGTCGTCGTACTTCTGGATTATCAATTCTTATTCTTCCTCACATTGCTCGATTGATCTGGATGAGTTTGAGGAATTGAATAGGAAGGTAGCGAAGATTACTGAGTTGTAACTTCAAGAAAGGCTGCAAGGGAAGAAAGGGCAAAGCGGAGGGAGGAAGAAGATAAGCGAAGAGAGGAAGAGGAAAGGCGAAGGGAGGAAGAAATGAGGCAAAAAGACGATGCATTAAGACTTGTCACTAGTGATGTTAAAAATCTCAAGTCTCAGATAAACTCCCTCTTAGCATCTGGTGCATTTCCTGTGCCCCGTTCTCCAGCATCTGATGATAACTAAGGAGTAGTTTCTTTTATTAGCTTGTTTTCGATGGTACCTGGATGTTGAATATTGAATGTTGGATTTTTTGAGTTTTTGTTCTATTTTCTTATTAGTTAGATATTAATTATGAAATGGATTGATTAGTTGTTGTTTATGAAATGAATTGGATTGCATGTTGAAATCCCCAATAGGAAACTCCCTGGGAATTACCCACGAATGCCCTGGGAAACTATTTTTCCACCAGCCATTTTTCCACTGAGCGTCTCCCCTGGAAATGTCGTGGGAATATTAAAATTTTACACAAATTTCCCACCGATTCTTCCATGGAAAAAGTCTGTATTTCTAGTAGTGGAAAGTCATCCCCAGGAGAAAGAGTTTCAAGTATCTAGGGTCTATAATTCAGAATGATGGGGAGATTGATGAGGATGTCACACATCGTATCGGAGCAGGGTGGATAAAGTGGAGGCTCGCTTCCGGTGTCTTGTGCGATAAGAATGTTCTGTTGAGATTTAAGGATAAGTTCTACAAGGTAATGGTTAGACCGACTATGTTGTGTGGGGCAGAGTGCTGGTCAGTCAAGAGCTCTCATGTCCAGCAGATGAAAGTAGCAAAAATGATGATGTTGAGATGGATGTGTGGCCATACTAGGTTATATAGAATTAGGAATGAAGTTTTTCAGGACAAGGTGAGAGTGCCCCTATGGAGGAAAAGATGCGAGAGGCGAGGCTGAGATGGTTCGGGCATGTTAAGAGGAGAAGCACAAATGCCCTAGTTAGGAGGTGTGAAAGGTTGGCCTTGGGGGAGG